GGATAAGAGGCCGGAGGCAGAGTCTCGAGCTCTCTCTCCCCGCAGAGGACCGGACCTCGGAGAGCAGCCACGTCGCCTATGTTTTTTTGCTTTGCCTTTGTGTTTGTCTTCGGACACATTAAGTTTTGCTAAATAAATACTTTTTTTTACATATTCTTGTCCTTCCCACGCTTTTTGTTATGGCTAAGAGCCAGGCCATGACAGATGGGGGCTCGTCCACGTCTCTTATCTGTGATACAGCAACGGATAGGTAAGATTTGTGTTGGGAGTTGGTGCGCGTGTATAAAGTTTGTTGGGAGTGCGGCCGGTTTCTTTGTTTCGGCTCGTTGTGGGAAGGACATTTCAGATCGTTGTTTGGGGACATATTTGATTACTTTGTGAGGCTTCGATTTGTTTGGTATCATATTTTGGGAGAGTGGTTGCTAGTTGTTCTTAGCCGTGGTCAGCTGTTTGTTTTTTTGTTTTCTTTCTCCTTTCTCTCTCGTGGGGGTTTGTTGGTGCGTTGCAGGTGGAGCGGGGCGGAGTTTTCCCTGGCAGGTTAAGCGGCGGTTCCCTTGGGATTGTTGAGCGGGGTGTGTAGTGTTGCGGAGAAAGTGGTTGAAGCTTCGGCTTGGGAGCATGGCCGTGGTCACAGTAGTGTTGCTAGCTTGCTAGTCGCTTTGCTGGGCCAGCGGTCTCCGGTGCATAAATACCCACCACAAGTAACTGCATGAAGACTAGGGAGGAGATTAGTCAGTGGGATGGTGAGTTAGTGGGGAAACTCCAATCAGAACATTAGTGTTGTTCCACTTTGGACGCATAATAAGTGTGGTGGTATCTGTCCGGGTTGTTTTTGTGTTTTTTTTTCTTTCTCATCTCTCGGTTTAAAGGTCCGGTGTTGTGTTCCGGTGAGGGGTCGTTGGAAGTTAATATGGCTGACGTAGAGGCATTTATTGAAGCTCCGTCTCAGGAGCTGCTTGGTACTTTTTCAAGAGAGCAGCTGCTCTTAATTGCTGAGCATTTCTCTGTGTCTATTGTCGGGGATAGAAGGGTGAAGGATAACATAAAATACTCTATAGTGTCGACGTTAAGGGAGACGGGAGTTTTTGCTGCAAAGGAAGAGGGGGTTTTGTTAAAACCTCGTTTTCAGGCAAGTGCACTTTCTTTTGAGCAGCAGAGGGAAATGTTGTTGTTGCAGCAGGAACACGAAAAAGTAAAGTGGGAACATGACAGAGTAAAGTATGAACATGACAGAGTAAAGGATGAACGTGACCGGGAACATGACAAAAGGAAGTATGAGTTGGGAATTGAAAAGGAAATCACAGTGGAGCGGATGCGACAAGAATCTGAGAAAGCCAAGATAGAGTGGGAGGGACATCGTCTGGCTATTCTCAGAGATGGCGCGTTGTCCGGTGAGGGGCAGGGTGAACAGGTGCCCAGGTCTCCTCATCGCTTTGATGTTAATAACCTGCGCTTGCTGCCTCACTTTAATGAAAGTGATCCCGACACGTTTTTTTTGTTATTTGAACGTGTGGCTAGGGCTAGAGAGTGGCCTGATGCGGACTGCGCTCTGATGCTTCAGTGTGTTCTCACAGGACGAGCGCAGTCTGCATATTGCTCTTTATGTCTGGAAGATAGCTCTAGCTATAGTAAAATAAAATCAGCGGTGCTTAGAGCATATGAACTTGTGCCAGAGGCCTATCGACAACGTTTTAGGTCCTTTGAGCAAAAACAAGATCAAACGTATGTGGAGATGGCGAGGGATTTGTCTGTTCATTTTAAGCGTTGGTTAACTGCTCTTGACGTCACTACTTTTGACGATTTGTGTGAGCTCATGACTTTGGAACAGTTCAAAAATATTCTTCCTGACAAGATTGCTACTTACATAACAGAACACAGGGTCACTTCTGCGGCTGAAGCTGCTGTGGCAGCTGATGAGTTTGTGTTGCTTCATAAGAGCAGGTTCGGAGGGCGCTCTGGGGCCCTAACTGTTTTTGAAGGAAGTAGGAAGGCTGTTGATGTTGGTTCATTTGGGATGGAGCCAAGGAAATTGGGTTTGGTCAAGTCTGAGGTGGATAATAGTGATATTTGCCACTATTGTCGTGAAAAAGGCCATTGGAAGGCAGATTGTCCTGCGCTTAGAGCAAAATCTGAGGGAGGAAGATATTTTGTTGGGCATGTTGCGTTAGCTGCTCCGGTGAAAAGCTGCTGTGTTGCCGATGTGCTTACATCCCACTTATGTGGATCTGAGGTTTTGGCATCTTATGCTCCATTTATACGAGACGGCTTGGTGTCATTGGTAGGTAGTAATGTCAGAGTTCCAATCAAAATATTGCGAGACACAGGGGCTTTTGATTCCTATATTGTTGACTCTGTTTTGCCTTTGTCTTATGAAAGTGACACTGGTGACACCGTTCTGAGTTGGGGAATGGGATTAAAAGTTCTTCCTATTCCTGTTCATAGGATGTATATTGACTGTGATCTTGTTAAGGGTGAGGTGGCTGTTGGTGTACGTCCAGCTTTGCCAATCGAGGGGATACACTTCATCCTGGGCAACGGTTTGGCAGGTAGCAGAGTCTGGACTGATGTTCCCCCTGCGTTTTTAGTCACTGGCGGTCCGATTGAGTCAGGGTCTGAGGAGAGCTCTACAGTGTTGGCAGACGTCACGTCCTCTTGTGTGACCACTCGTGCTATGGACAAAAATATGTTTGGAAACCAGAAGACCAAACATTGTCCCACTAGTCAAAGTGGTCGTGGCGTTGATGGTGGTCGCGGTGGCGGTAGCGTTGATGGTGGTCGTGGCGGCGGCAGCAGGGGTCGAGGGAGAGGCAAGGAAATGTCCTGCTATCGGTGTGGAGACCAAGGACACATGGCTCGTGACTGTGGGCATGCCAACGACCGGAAGTGCTATTCCTGCGGTGGGCTTGGTCACATCCAGAGACGGTGCAGTAGGGTGAAATGTTACAGGTGTGGCGACATTGGCCACGTTGCGGTGCAGTGCAGTAAAGCCAGTGAAACTAACTGCTACAACTGAGGAAACATGGGCCGTGACGGTAATGTATTGTCTGTCATACTGTTCGATAAATCGTTCTCGCTCTGCCCATCCTTTTAAAGTGTGCTTCTCAGGTAGTTACCTGAGTTGCTAAAGATGTGGCTGGGTGTTGGAGGAGCGTTTGGCAGTGTGAGGGGTTGTATGTTGCAATTGGTGGTTTTGTTGGAGGTGGGGTGCATTATGTCTTGTGTTTTTGTTGTTCATTACTGGTGTTTTTTGTTTTGTCAGGGTTGGGATTGGTGTGCCGGTGGTCCTGGGGACACCGACTTTAAGGGGGGGGGTGTGACGACCCCTGCCTTGTTGTCTCCTGTGGTGTGCATGGCCCTTTAATGTTTCTCCTCTGCTTGTGACGACCTGATTAAGGACACCTGACGCCTTGATTAAGGACACCTGACGGCTGGCGGAGGATAAAGAGGCCGGAGGCAGAGTCTCGAGCTCTCTCTCCCCGCAGAGGACCGGACCTCGGAGAGCAGCCACGTCGCCTATGTTTTTTTGCTTTGCCTTTGTGTTTGTCTTCGGACACATTAAGTTTTGCTAAATAAATACTTTTTTTTACATATTCTTGTCCTTCCCACGCTTTTTGTTATGGCTAAGAGCCAGGCCATGACATTTACATTCATCTTTTGGTATATTTGGTTGGATAGGAACACTTTGATGCACATTCAGTACCAGTGTGTGAGGTTGTGGTTGCGATGCCGATATCCGGACGCGTACAGCGAGGACTACAAAAAGACACATGAGGTGACTAGGGATGTGTGTTCAAAACATTGCACGCTTGAATAAATCATTTAAACCATTTATTTTTGTCAGACTTATTACTGAATATCGTTCTTAATGTGATACCAAGTCCATCTGAGACCTGTGTATACCTTCAGACAGCCTCCAAGTGAAGCACACGTTTACTCACAGTTTGAAAGCAGCGTGGAGAAGTCAGCTGTGGAGCTGTGATCCGCCCAGGATAACTTGTGATACGTCTTCTGTGGCTTGTTCTTGTTGTCAGTCTTATATTTGTATCATTAGCAAGAATGAAATGTGTAGTTTGTAACGTAGAGTTTGTAACGCAAAAACAGCGGTAGGCTACATATATCATACAATAAACATTTATTCATTTATTGACTTCTTTATACAGGTGTACATGTGGAAATTGCACCACAATGCCTTCGGAACCTGAGAATGTGTGCTGCATTGAGATACCACACGTAACATTTTTGATAGCTTCACTAAGTTCTCTGTTTAGAGAATACATTTTTCACATGTCATTCAATATATGTTTATCTCACTAGGTGTCAAGACGGATGCAGGAACTTGAGGTTTTATGCAATCTTTCATTTCATTCTGTCATTGTACATCGCGTTACTATTATATTACATGTACTACACAGCAATGGCATAACACACCCATTTGTTGATGACAAAAAAGTCCACACACAACCTTATGCTTTTGAAATCAGCATATACTTTACCCATCCAACATGAATAATCATCACACATTTAATATAAACTGTCGGAACTTTATTGCTAAAAGCAAAGGTTCTTTGAACTCATAAAAATAAAGTAAATGTACTTATATTTTTACATAAATGACATAGGCTTTTCACTAAATATTCTTTGAAATGATTTCAGGCACATCGACCGTGGCCCAGGGGACTGTTGTACGCTTTCCCACCAGTCCCGCTGATCCCTCGGTTCCTGGACCGAGTGCAGGAGGAGCGACTGTCAGTGATCCTAATTGCCCCGGAGCGCACAGGCGCTTCCTGGTTTCCATGCCTACAGTGTACGCTGTCAGGCAGACCGTGGGAAATTCCGTGGCGCGGGGACGCTCTCTCGCAGGTGGAGGGAGCGATCAACAGTCACCCTGTGATAGGCCAGCACTTATGGGCATGGCCCCTGAGCGGGAACACTTAGAGGGGCTGGGCCTCTCTCAAGATGTTGTACGAACCATTCAGGGAGCCAGGGCCGCGTCTACCAGAGCGTCCTACACAGCCAAGTGGACAGCGTTCCAGCGTTGGTGTTTAGGAAAAAGCCTGGACCCCATTACGTGCCCCCTGCCTCACGTGCTGTCATTCCTCCAGCTGTTGTTGGACAGGCTTTCAACACAATCAAGGTATATGCTGCTGCCATATCATCTTATCATGTGGGTTTCGGGGTCGGGACGGTGTTTAGTCACCCCCTGACGAAACGTTTTCTGCGAGGAGTACGGAGACTCAGACCTGTGTCACGCTCACTGGCGCCTCAGTGGGATTTGGCTTTGGTGTTACGCGCACTAAGCAAAGCCCCATTTGAACCTTTAGATCAGGTTCCCCTTAAACTGTTATCAGCCAAAGTAGTACTACTTTTGGCTCTAACATCAGCAAAAAGGGTGAGTGATTTGTCTGCTCTCTCTGTGGCTCCGTCATGCCTCCGGATCCAAGGAGATGGCAGTTCAGCTGTTTTACGCCCTAACCCGGCTTTTATGCCAAAGGTCATCACAAGCTCTTTTAGGTCAAGAGTGATCACGCTGGATGGCTTCTTTCTATGGGCTCAGAACAGTCTCATAATACACACATGCACACAGAAGGATTCACACTTGTATTTGTCAATGCACACACAAATGTGTTCCGCTTCATATACATGTAAATAAAATACAAATACAGAACAAAGTTTTACATATGTATTTTTGATCCTCACATTTTTGTTTTCCGTTTAAAACCCCTGCACCTACAAACACAAACTGCTTTCTGTGCATGGATCGCTGTGCATTCGTGTGTGGGTTTTTTGAGACTGCCCTGACGGTGATCCGATTCGTACTTGTAATTTTTTCTATCTATAGCCAATCAGATGTCTCCTCAATTATAAGCCAATCACATGAGCGCGCCCCCACGAGGGTAGATTTCTTGCGTTCATGACGTAGCGCTTCATGTACGCATTTTGCGCTGTCCGGAGCTGACAGGTCCATGGAGCCTGCCTGCAGGCGCTAATCTCAGGACACCTCCACTCTCAGGCCCCGCTCACACGGGACCGTTTGCGTTTATGCACAGTATGCGTATTCAAAAAAGTGTTCCGTTCACATGCATTCGTTTCATTTAACGTGTCTGTTCAAACGAGACCGCTGGAAACGCTGTAGTACATATGCCGGGACTGTAAGTGGCGCTGTAACTTCCGCCACAAAATACACCCAAAAGCAGTGAAGAAGACTCCGCAGCAATGTTGCCATGGCTACCCTTCTGTTTACGCCCCGCCGTGGATTTAGCAACATGTAGTTCATGTAATTCTCCATGTCCACTTGTTGCTGATGGTTGTGGTAGAGGAGCTGTATATTTTTGCACTAATATCTGTAGCATGGTCAGTAGCAGTAGCACTAGCAGTAGCTACTGACAGGAGGAGGAGCATGTCTCCGTGGAGAGGACTCGCTCAGAGAGATATTCTCTACAAACACCGGGTGAGATCCTCCTTTGTCAATATAATGGATCAATGCATGAAATCTGACTCTGTTTATTTTGTTTAAGGAGTATATTGGGCGTTAACAATTCTGGTTTGCCTTTTATAATATTATTTCATTCAAGAACCCCTTGTGCGTTTAATTAACACAGCCATGCTACAGCAGTGAGCAGGAGAGGTGGGGAAAGTGGGGCTATCGTTATTTTTTCAGGAAATATTCGTATAGAGGTGATTACACGGACTCGGTTGACCCCCCAGAGCGTTTCGTTTGCAAATCTATCCACCTTGGGACCCGTTATCGTTTGTGGGGTCAGTTTCTATCGGCCTCGTGTAAATAATAGGGCTATACGCACGCGAAACTATGCAGATACAAGCAGTTTTCTCCTCGTGTAAACGGCGCCTCAGTACATTGCCACTTTCCGAACAGGAAATGCACGCAAATACAATCTTTTATATTATTAAGGTACAGTGCCACTTTCCGAACCATTAATGAATGCTTGTGTACACAAAAACGGCAGGCAAAACCGTTTTAAATGTGTGTTTCCTGTATGGCGAATACAGCTGCTTTATTGATGTCTGTATGAAGTTGTTGTGAGTGTGGAGGGAGCAGCTACAGGTTAGCTTAGCCTAATCGATCAGTGCACTACGAAGCCAGTGATAGACAGTGAACTGTCAACGGGGGGAAGCCCCGCTGGTCATTATCGGCCGATATTCACTCTTAATAGTTTGATCGGTGCTCTCTATAAAGGCCGATCAGGAGAGCTGGATCTGATCGATATGGACATAAACGCGAGTGAAGTTTTAGCGAGCTGCATGAGAAACTGACGGGCTGTCAGGAGAGAGGGAGGGAGAGATGAAAATAGAGTTACTCCCGTGTTATTAGCCATATCCGGTCATAGTCCGGTAATTACCTGCTAACGGAAACTGCTACACAATTCTTCTTATTATTATTATTATTGAAACATTTGTCTGGTAAAATACATTCTGTCCGCGGAAACCCTGCTCCGGACAGCGCAAAATGCGTATATGAAGTGTCATGAACGCAATAAATCATACCCTTGTGGGGACGCGCTCATATGATTGGCTTAGAATGAAGGAGACATCTGATTGGCTATAGATAGAAAAGATTACAAGTAGGAATCGGGTGACAGAAAGCGGTTTGTGTTTGCAGGTTCAGAGGATTTAAACGGAAAACAAATATGTGAGGATCAAAAATACATATGTAAAACTTTTTTCTGTATTTGGATTTTATTTACATGTATATGAAACGGAACACATTTGTGTTTGCATTGACAAACACAAGTGTGGATCCGGAGACACAAGTGTGAATCCTTTTGCGGATCATGAAATACAAGTGTGAATCCTTCTGTGTGCATGTGTGTATTATGAGACTGTTCTGAGCCCATATCTTTCCCCCTCCTCACAGGTCGGAGGAAGAAGCCACCTCTCATCTCCTCTGTCCTGTGCGCGCGCTGTCCTGCTACACTGTAAGACCGAACATTACAAGCTTCTGAAAAAAAATGGGTTGTTTTAACTCAAACATTTAAAAAAGTGAATTCACCGCTAATGTTTTGATGACTATGAACTGATTTTTAATATTGTGTATACAGTGTTCAACCATTTTGGGTCATATTGGTGATTGTACTCAAACATTTTTACTGAATCTGTCTGACGCTGGTCTGACGTCATCACGTATGTGCTCCGCCCCCGACGTGCCTAGACGTTCTCTCACCCATGCCTTCACCAGAGTCAGCCATTAGCTCCTCGTCTCGGTTGAAATCGCTCATACTTTTAAGAATACTTTCCCCACCTTGCTGATTGCACTCACTGCCGGAATCTTGATCCTTTGTTTTGGCCGCACTACTCTGGTGAGTTACGTCTTGCCTTTGCACAGTATTTAAATTATGTTTTATTAATTTCTGCATCTAATGCACTTTGTGTCGCATGGTGTATTAGTTTGATTTGAGCTCTTGTTAGCTAGCCTACATTTAATATCTGCCTCACTTGAAAAATGATTTAACTTACGTGTAAGACAGTATTTTTATATTGTTTTAAGTTATATCTCAAAGTGGAACGTTTGTGTTGCAAAAGTTCTCTGGAAAATTCGAACCTAAAATGGCGGCAGGCCGCGCGTTTTCTTTCTTCTATTTTTTTTACCGCATGTTTTATTAACTTGGAGGCATAGAGGATTTACGTTCATTTGATCCACTACAATGTACCATAACCGTGCGTTCTTCTGCATGTTTGTAAAAGCAAGCTAACTTGTAACACTAGACTATTCATTTTACAAGGTCATTTGTACCCCCCAGCGTTTTCAAATACATGTAACTTACAAAGGTAATGATCGCACAGTGATGATACTAATACTTCTAGAATATGTGGAGTCTCAGCTTTAATCTGATATCTTGTATGTGCAGTTACGATAAGTAATAAAGTATTTCTACCGTGAGGTAGGCATTTTTTCGCTCAGGGCTAATTTAGACGCTTCTTGTGAGACTTGTGTTTTGTTTCGGTAAAAATGGTTCGTATCGTCAGTTAGGGGAGTTTCGTTAAGTGGGTATGACCAGAGTTGGGTGTAACGCGTTACAAAGTAACGCTTTACTGTAATAATATTACTTTTGTCGGTAACGGAGTAGTGTAACGCGTTACTTTTATAATTCAGTAATCACACTACAGTTACTAACATTGCCCCGACACGCGTTACTTCGTTACTTTTATAAAATCAGTCATAATCACACTGACAGACAAGAGGGGTTTCCGCCGGACCCCCGAACCCAGAGTGAGGATGTGAGTGCGCCGCCGACTCTGAAGCGGCACAAATTAGAATTTGGAGGACCGGTAACCAAAGCAGAGATGGACAGGCTTGTAGCATCCTTCATAGTAGAGGTAATGTTGCCCATTTGCACAGTGGAATCACCATCACATCGTTCAGAGATATACTGCGCAAAATACAGATAGCAGGAGACAGAGGACAGCCATGGGCGGCGGCGACGACGGCGGCGAATAATCGATTAATATTCGCCAGGGCTGTCCGATTTTCGAATTTGATCATGGTCAGTTTCTGGCTTAACTTTGACATGTTTACTCGGATTTAGCATGTTATGTTTCTGTTTATCTCTGCTGCCTTCAGTCCACATATACATTGTACTGTGAATTAAATAGTCATTTTATATTTTGGCAGATTTATGCAGAGTGTCACAGGATAACAAACCTCAACCTGAAGAACCACTTCTATGCGGAGTTGGATAGACATGCCCCCCGTCTTCAGAGCCTGTTCAGGAAGAAGGCGGCAAGCAAAGGGAAGGTAGCTGAAGTTCTGAATCAGCTATTCGTCTCCTATGACCTCCAGGTGAGTCGGTTACGCCTCTTGGTGTTTTATTCTCATACTAGAGTGGATTATCTTTGACAAAATGGTAATCTCTTCAGTCATGGAAGAGCCCTTTCTTGTGATATCAATTGTTGTGTGGCTATACTGTTTAGCATCCAAAGTAAAACAAAGATATGTTCTCACACTCAAGGAGCAAGGTGACGTCCATGTCCGACGTGCTGCTGTCCTCCGTGCTCTGCCTGCATATCTGCATGAAGATGACTCCACGTTTCTGAGGCTGTGGCATGTAAGTCAGCATAATAACTGTTTTGAATGTATGTGACAGATCATCAAAAAATATAGTTTATCTTGTTACATTGTTTCAGGAGCTCTATCGCAGGAAGACAATTATTTGAATTTTTATAGAGAAAACATTATAATAAATGATAGATTTAGTTTGAAAAAGTATGAACTGTCCTGGGGGGTATACTACGAATCTAGTTCAACATATCCTGGATATGTTTTGAGTTATCCGGTTGACTAAATAAAATTAAAAAAAACGCTCTCGCTAAACGGTCCTACGACGCTGGCTATCAACTCGATCGCTCAAGCCAGCCGTGTCCTATCTAGTTAGGTGCGCGTTCACATAAAAGGGGTGGTATTTGGAGCAATCGACCAATCACAAACATGGACAAGCCGTGTACTGACAGCGCAGCGCGTCATATATTTCCTGAATGAAAAGTCAACTAATATTAGACAAATATGAAGACGTTAAACTTAAAACATCCATGACTTAAACACTTTATCCAGGATAAAAGCCACATAGCTGCAGCTGCAAGGTGAATACAGCTGGTAAAAGAAAAAGTGTTTGAATGCGTACATCAACAGGTTTATGAAATCACTGCCCCGTCTAAGACACGAGTGGATCTGACTTTAATTACATTTGACTCAAGTGTTTCGTCAACTTAATGTATTGCTTAAAATAATACTTCTGCATACAGTATGTGACACTGTGAGTGTTGCACGGCCAGATACGGCTCAAGAAGCTGACTCAGATAAGGAAATATATGATACATTATGATGTGATATCATCCTCCTGTCATATGAATTGATCGCTTTAAACTCCGCACACTGAGCTCTGATTGGTCAGCAGGCAGTGCTTTTATCCTGGAACCTATCCTGCTCCGGAGGCTAGTCGTTCAGAATAAGTTATCTAGCCCGCTAAAAAGTGAACCAGCTTCGTAGGACCGGAAACCCCTGAAGTTAGCTTGCTAAACAAAAATCTTGCTTCGTAGTATAGGCCCCTGGTGTCATCAAAGCTTGATTCTGTCACTGAGGTTATATTACTCAAACATTATCTCTTGTGTTGCTCACATCCCATTCAGGTTCTAGTTCCAAGATTTGAATATTGCCATAAGAATTGTAATTATTGTAAGGTACACAATGGATATGTTGAATATAATCTCCCTTTACTTTTACACTACTTTAGGATTTATTTAAAATTAAGCTCTTTAGGTTTCAGTGTAAAAAATGGGCTCACGTGATTTAAAGGGCCCATGTCATGGCCATGTCTACTGATCATAATTCCATTGTTGAGGTCTATTAGAATAGATTTATATTGTGCATTTTTCCAAACTCACATTGGTTTCTCATACAGCATCTCTGTAAACTACGTGTATTCACTGAATTTCACTCTCTGCCTTTAACGGCTCGTTGGAGCTCCAATAGCTCCAGCCCCCACCCTCCCTGTGAGCACAGTGTGCTCTGATTGGTCGGGACGTTGTGAATCGCGCTGAGCTCCGTGGAGGTGTTGTTTCCTTGTTAGCGATACATAGCCAAACTCATCCTGAGCACACACAAAGTCACAGCCAAAGTAAAAACAATAAGTGTGGCTTGATATTGAGTAAGAAAAAGGTTGATAAACGCTGTGAGAATGGGTCTGCAGAGAGAATGGGTCTGCAGAGAGAATTTCACCGCGATCCCAACTGTCTGTTATCAGCCTGCAGCCAGGGAGGAGAAATCAGTTGAGCTGCTTGCTCCCTGCACACAGATGTGTGTGTGTGAGGAAGTCCGCTGATTGGTTAATTTGGAACAATCAGCGGGGGCTTAGCGTAACGGCTCCACGGATTGGTCCATTTCGTTCCGGGTACAGCTTGACATCATGCCGTACCCGGAACGAAATGGAAGAATCAAATGGACAATGACGTATCTCCAACGAGGCGTTTTGGGGAGGTATTTTCTGTGTTAGAGTTTTACTCGCTACAGGGTGTACTTTGAGGGTTTTGACTCTGCACACCGTTTACATGAATAAAAACCTTCATAACACACAAGGGGACGGGTAATAACCGGAGAAGCATGACATGGGCCCTTTAAGAACATATGCAATTAAGAGAGGGCTTTCTTTCCTGCAGCATCAGTGTTCAATACAAAATAATCTCTAGTGTTCCCCATATTTTTGTATGTGTAGTAGGGAGAGATTATACTGTAAATATATATTCAGTTGCCAGTTTATTAGCTACAACTAGCTAATAGTAACACAGTCTAATACAGTGATAAAATAAATCCTACCCTTATGAAGGTTATTAATGGTTTTTTTGTAGAAAGCATTTATGTCAACTGATTGGTTATTTTGGAGGCTGACGTTTCTGGTGCTGTAACATTATGTTGTGCAATGCTAATAGGTGTTTCCTTAACCCTTTAACTGCCAGCGCCACCATTTGGTAGAGCACATTTTGTGTCTTGATATCTTGAACTCCATCTGATTCAGCCAGCTCTACCATCTGGTTGACGTGTTATGCACAAAACAACCTCTAGATGTCACTGTGGTTTGAACAGAAAGCCCTTCAGCTAGCTTCCACTGAGAAAGTTGGCAATGCTAAAAATCACTGCTGAAGAAATCACTCTTTTTGGTCAACTTTTGTAAGGTAACCATATCAACATATTTTAGTGTCAGAGCACTTACTGAACATATTTAGATAACTTGATGCACAAAAAAAGTTTTAACAAGGGTGTAATTATTTTTTGGAAAATATGCTCAACCAATCGGTGGAATTGGCTTTTTATGGTAAACTAGCAATATGACTTTTTCAGAGTTTCAGAGATGTTTTCCAATAAAATATGGTAAATAAATGGCTAGATTCATGGTATAATATTACTGCCTTATGAGTCTCAGAGTGAAAGAGTGATAATAATTTATATAGCACCTTTCATGCATGGCATTCAGCCCAAAGTTGCACACAGATGAGCAAGTTAGGCCAACACAGGATGTAGACATTTGCTGTTAGGCCAGTGGTTTCTTGTTAGGCCAATTCAGCGTATACAGGAAGATGAGCAAGTATTTTTTTTAATTGTATTTTTTTTACAATTATAATTTATTATCTTTTATGAATATATCTGGTTGTATATATTGCTCATTTTCCATAAAAGAAACAAATGTATTTGAGTTTGTGTTTTATTTGAGTTTGATGCGTACAAATACTGTACTGTATGATGATTCTTGAAAATGCACTTTTACCATAAAAGGCCAGCTCGACCAGTTGGTAGAGGCTCATAAAAACAAAACTGTGGTCAGTCAAAACAAATAAAATTGTTTGTGGTTATTTGATAAAAAAAATGCAAACAAAAATTTTTTCCATAGCTTTTTTCTTGGTCTGGCAGTTAAAGGGTTAAAGCCACATTATGCACAAAACATTAGGTTATTTGATGTGATATGTCACTGATGTATTTTTCAGAAAACAGATTTCTGAGATAGCCAAGGCAATTTGGGGTAATGGGTAACGTTTATCTGTTCTTGTCATCAGGTGGAGCAGTCTGATGATCCAGACATAGAGGACATCGCGGTCGGACTTCTCATGATCAGTGCCAGGTCAACAGATACCACGCTCTTCTGCCCAGAGAGGATCGCTGTTGTCATTGAGGGTAACAGAGTTATTAAACTCCCCACACTGGCTGATGCATTCATCCTGCTTTTTGCACTGCCTCTGAGCTATCCAAAAGACTCGGAGCTGATGAGGACGCTGATGAGGACCTGCCCGTATTCGTTACCAACATTGGTAACCCATGCGGCCGTGTCGAAAGCGATACCGGCGAGCTTCTTCGTCACCTGGACACACACACAGAGAGAGAGAGATTTCAAATGTGAGTGCATAAACACACGGCGGCTGTAAAAAAAAATTGAAATTGTGACAAACTATACTGACCTTCTTGGTGGAATCCATCTTAAGGATGGATCCGAAGGTGGACTTGATCCTGGCCTTGTACTCATCCAGCCGCGTCATTATGTCATAGCCGTAGACTGTCAGCAGCCAGATGGGTGAGGGCAGAGTGGGCATTTGGGGCGGTGGTGGAAACTGCCCCCTCACGCTGCACAAGGCCAGGAACTGCTCGCACACGCCGAGGTACTGGATCGCTCTCCGCATCCAGGCGCCTGAGTGCTGCTCCCGCAGGGTGTTGCACAGCTGAGTGGCACTGTTGCCCAGAGTGCGGGACTTCAGCTGTGTAACCACCCTATGGTCACAGGACAGCCTGCAGAAACACAAAACAAGCATTATATACAGCTCCGGCATCACATGCATTGCATTTATTTATATATACGGTATGTTGTCAATTCCTCTCACTTGTACGTAAGTACTGCTGGGAACTGGCAGCTGTAGGTGGGGGCCAGCTGCCTGATGATGCCCTGTGACCACCTGCCGACCTTCTTCTTGCATCGACTGCACTCCAGGTACTCAGTGGCCATGAGATACCAGCCGTCGATGTCCAGGACCCTCCGGATGGTCCTGTACAGCCCAGCCTTCACCATGGACCCGGTGCATGAAGGCTGGGGGCATGTCAGCTGCAGACGCCAGAGTGGCATCCAAAGAAACAGCCGACATGCAAAGAAGGGGTCGGGGGACGCGGGAGGCTGGTGGTAGATTGGGGGGGGGATCCACCACAGATTCAAGTCTGTGATGAGGCTCGGCCCTCCCCCACTGGTCCCTGGTGAACAACACCCGACCGATCCACTGCTGCTGCTCCGCAGTGAGAGCTGCCCGCCATGACTCGGGCAGCAGCTGGAGAGAGAACCAGAGGAACGTAAAAGGCACTTATATCTGAGGACATCGCTCCAGGGCAGCAGATGAGCAGCGTTTACTTTGACAGACAGTCTTACCTCACGTGGCGGAGGAGGGAGGAAGGCTGGCCCCGGCAGCTCCTCCTGTCCGGCGGTGGCGAGGAGGGAGCTGGTGACTCTGCAGGCTGGACTCCGGCTGGAGGTCGCAGGGGGTGGTGTTGTTCCTGCGTGGCCTCCAGCAGCTCCTCGTCCGTGGGCTCGACAGAGACACCAGCCCCCTTGTGTGGTGCGGAGGAGGAGGTGGCGGGAGGTGGATGGAACGAGAGAGGGGCCTGTACATCTGAGGCTTAAAGAGAAATCAAACTCAACTTTATGTCAAAAAAAAATATGTTTGTACCCACAGAAAGATTGAAATACTGTTTCCCACAGTCCCGAGGTATAAAAAAGACACAAATGTTTAATTAACATGAAAGAATTAGATGTTAGTTGTGTTGTGTTAATATTGAGCCACAGAAAACTAAAACCTAGTGGAGCACAGAAGGTTGTTTAAAGAGAGAAAGTGACGACGAGACAAAACAACGACACCAGATTTGACTTGTTGAGGGAGCGATGCAGGCAGCGAGCGGTTGGAGGGGTTACGAGGGAGAGGATGATGAGCTTACTCTACATCTACAAGCACTCATTAGTGATGATTTGACAGGCGATTGGTCGGCGTGAAGCTTGGTGATTTGAGACTTGCAAAAGGCGCATAGTTTTTCATTAAAGCAAACTTACCTGCCAGGTCATATCCTTCTGAATACGGACATATTTATAGAGCAAAATAAAGGGAGAAGGGTCAAAAATGAAGTCAAACTTTCAGTTATCAACAACATGTTGCATGAATGCTACTTCAGTTTTTACTTACACTCCTCCATGTCAACTACCGCCCTGATCAGCTCTCCATCCGAAGGCTCCTCCGATGGCTTGGAGGGAAGAGCTGATCTGAGGGAGGCTGTAATTGCAACGTGAGTGAGAAGAAAATATACAGTGAGAAATACAAATAGGGTTAAACTGTGCATTTCATTTAGGCTGGACTTGCTTGGAAATGCAGGCTTAGGGTCCACCAGCTTCTTGATCTGTGCCTGCATTTCCACGGCAGACAGAGAACGCCGCCCGGACACGAAGGCCGCAAACGCTGAAGCAGGCCTATGAGACAGAACAACATCTAGAATGCACAGCATGAAAAACACCAACGTGTCTTCAGAAAGGTCATCCAGGTATGTCAAACTCAGACAGCTTTAAAATAAGACACGTACTTTGATGTAGTCCTCGCTCTCTGGCCAGAGACCGACACAGAGACTGTGCTGCTGATGGTGGTGCTGCTGCTGCACCACCAGCAGCAGCAGCAGCAGCAGCAGCAGCAGCAGCAGCAGCAGCAGCAGCAGCAGCAGCAGCAGCAGCAGCAGCAGCAGCAGCAGCAGCAGCAGCAGCAGCAGCAGCAGCAGCAGCAGCAGCAGCAGCAGCAGCAGCAGCAGCAGCAGCAGCAGCAGCAGCAGCAGCAGCAGCAGCAGCAGCAGCAGCAGCAGCAGCAGCAGCAGCAGCAGCAGCAGCAGCAGCAGCAGCAGCAGCAGCAGCAGCAGCAGCAGCAGCAGCAGCAGCAGCAGCAGCAGCAGCAGCTCTCTGTCTCGGCTCTTCGTGTAGCGGACGGCGTTCTCCATCTGCGTGCCGGGTGTGGGAATCTTCTTCCGGAGGACAACTCTACAAAAATCTGACAATTTGTCACGTGATTCTTATCAACCGAATTAGAATCCACATGTATATATATAGATATATATCTATAGATATATATAGATATATATATATATATACATCTATATATATATATATATATAGATATTACGACATACCGGATTTTTTTGGGGTCCACAGAGTTGTACAGGCAGTCCAGGGTCTCAAATGTAAAGTCCCCGAAGCCAACAAGGGCCTGTCCCTCCTGACCAGGCAGGATGGACTTCGCCCGCGCCTCCTCAAACGCCCGGTGGAACCTGACTGCCTTCAGAAAGTCAGGGTACGCTGAGGAGTAGCGGGTGAAGGCGTCCTGTAAATTCACAAATAAGGTTAAAACTTGTCACTCTTTTAATGGTATTGTGAATCAGACTGAAGGACTCCACCTTGTTGACCATCAGCGGAGACTGAGACCCTGTCCTCTCTCGCTCCTTCTGGTGGGAGGCGACCAGACGTGGTTCTCCAGGAGCCAGTGGAAGATCTTTCCCTGGTACTGGCCGAACTGGACCTTCCACCGGACGAGGTGGCGTTGTCGGTGGGCCCAGGCCTCCGCGTCCACCTCCTCTGGCTTCTTTGCCCTGTACGGGGCTTGGCCGGCTGCTCGCCGGGGGGCGAGGGCGCTGGCTTCGGCCGTGGCCTTCAAGAAGAGGGTCCCATTAGGTGCCCTTCTAAATTCTGGGTTTTCCATCTACACAGAGTTGGACTCAGTTAGACCACTACCACAAATACAATGAAGTACTTTACTGTAGGCTACTATGAAGTAATTTTACTTTGTACTTTTTCAGTTATTCTCTGTCAAACTCCTGTGGCAGAAAATCATTTTATCTCTTACTTGTGGTAGAAGTCCAACGAGTACTGAGTCCAACAGTACCAATGTCATTAAGAACTTATGTCAGAAAATCATTTTATCTCTCATCAAATATGGCAGAAAACATGCAGTTTGACAGAGGAGTACAACTAATCAGAGCCCTCTCATCTGAGCTCCGTTACACACACACACAGGAGCGGGACATCCTCCTCAACCTGTCCGCCATAAATGCCTCAGAGGACGGATACCTGAACCGTAGCGTCCAGCTAGCTTAGCGATAAATACACACAGCGTTGTATTGTCCTCCCCCTGTCGGCCCTAAAAGCTTCAGAGGGCGGATAGCTGGGCTCCGTAGCGTCCCGCTAGCTTAGCCGCTAGCTAACGGTAAACACACACAGCAGTGCATCAGCGGTTCACAAAGTACCGTACAAACACCACGGTTAACTCAGTATGACTAATCTCGGACATAGAAGTGCGTTTGTAACAGTGTTTACACGCGTATTTGCTAATAATTAATGCACATTTTACTCAGTGTCGCTTGGTTGAAGTCAGTCAGTGTGAAAAAACAATGGCGGACGGAGGAGAGATTGCTGAGAATTATGGAACAAATCCGCCTCACCGATTGGACGCCAAAAGCCCCAAAAGTTTGATTCTCTCTTATGGAACATATCCGGCCTCCCTATTGGGCGAGATATGGAACCAAGCCTGGACAGCCATTGGTCAGAAATTGGAACATTGGAACAGAGAAGGATAGAGGATACTGCCCATTCTTCTCTACGAAGCAGGGGGGCAAGGAGAGGAAAGGGGGCCCAAAAAGTGAAAAAATCAAATTAAAAAGTGAAAGTGGGTCTGCGGTTCGATCCCCAGCTGTGGCAGAGATGAGGAAGAGCTCCCCTCTCAGCCATGACAGCCAGCACTGACTGACACATATGGCGCATTTCCACTACACGGTCGGCCTCGGCCACACTCGGTACGGCTCGGTACGGCTTGGCCGCGTTGGGCCTTAACAGGGCCGACTCACTTCATGCTGCGCTTCCATTACAGTTTAGGAACTGGGGTAGTTACTATAGTAACGCAGTGTAGGCGGAGCCGTGACGTCATCTTCAATGAGAAATCCAGAAACACAACACAGCCGTTAGCTGTGAGCACTCAGAGCTCACAGCTCCTTATATATGTTCAGAAACTCGACAAAAGTTAAACAAGTACACACCACAGACTGCCTGTGTCATGGTGAATACAGTCGCTGCTTTATTTATGTCTGTATAGGCCGTTGTGAGTGTGGACGGTCGGGGCATATACTATATATATATATATATATATATATTAAATGCTTTGACAATAAATACATTACAAAATGTCATCTGTGGAAGCCGTGGTACTGTAAAAAGCACGACCAATCATTTTAGCCGGCCCGGCTAAAATAACTGGATGGCCTACCTGCCTGTCAGCCTTCCATCTGTGCACAAACTTATCTCGTGCCCTCATTGGTCATGTGCGCGTTCGTGTGTGTTGGAGGAGGGGCTCTGTAAGGAAGTGGCAGATTTTCTCCGGTTGTGTATTTTCAAATTCTAGCGATCTCGAGCCGGTTTCTCAAACTTACCTACCCTACCTTTAAGTAATATTTTAAAAACAGGGCGGT